CGCGAAGACAACCTACCGGCAGGTTGAAGATGATCCACAGGTGGCTCAAGTACTTTAAAACCAAGAGTCGCGGACACCAACATCAACCCGACACCGGAGAGCTGCAAGTCGCGAAACGGAGAGATTTTGCTGGAAGTAGGGTGCGCCGATTGAATGTGGCGGCTAGGGTTCCAGCAGAAGTGATAGCGGTGGCTAGGGTTTCAAAATTGTAGTGGCTGCTAGGGTTCCGGTAGAGGAAGGTATTTTTATTATTATTATTATTAATAAAAAGATTAAGAAGCTAGGTTTTTAGGAGGGGCTAAAATTGGTAGAAAAAATTAGGATTTCTTAGGTCTTAAGGATGAACAAACCACCACTCAACCCAAAAGCTTAAGCTGATGGGTTGGGTAAATTTAATTCGTTTATATGGATTCTAACACTCCCCATCACTTGTGGGCTTGGAAAATTACATCAAGACCCAACAAGTGGAAATTATTATAAATGGGAAGGAACAACAACGCAGGGGTTCGAACACAGGACCTCCCGCTCTGATACCATGTTAAATTTAAGAGAATAAAAAATATTCTTCTATATACAAATAGTGCAACTTAGGTCTTCTTATATAGGAGAAAGACCTACTAAAAAGAATAGGAAACCTAGCACGCAAAGGAATAGGAGATTTAAAAAATATAAAGATTTAAAAAGACAACTAATAGATGTTTATATATTCCAACAAATACCATGTGCTCTAACAGGAGTATGTGAGAATAGGTGTACATGGGAGGCCTTAAACTAAAGAATGAAGTACAATAAAGGACAAATAATAATGAACTTGATTATCTAAGCTATGTACAACACTACGCTAAAATACATGCTATTTGGGAATGAATTTATTATTAGAATGAAACATGATATGCAATTTATTTATGTTATTTTGGCAATCCTATGTAGGAAGAGATTCGGTTCATGATCAACCCTGAATTAATTATTGGCATGCTTTTCTTGCCAGCCATGGCAGATAATGAGGCAATAGAAATTGTTGGTGCTGAGAGGTTCTCAGATTATACTGGGTGAGTTATGATCACTTGATATTTAATTTTGTTAAGAAATATATTAAAAACATTTATGCTATAACTTATCAACTTAGACTTTTGAGTTTAGTGGGGATTTAATATGGTATCAAAGTAGAAGGTTCTCTTGATTAAAAAAAAAAAAAGTAGAAGGTTCTTACTTCAAACCCTTGCAATGTCAAAGAATATAGTAAAAAAATAAATTGGATTCTTATATCATATTAAATCAACATTAAATCTAAAAATTTAAGTTGATAGGTTATAATATATTTTATCAACTATCAAGTTAAGCTTTTGAGTTTAGTGGAAATTTAATTTGATTTTGATTCCATATTAAAATCACTACTAAGCCTGAAATCATAAAACAATAAATTAGAGTATTTTTATTTATCTTTTTAACATTTTTTTGCTTCTGTCTACCTTGTTATATATATATATATTTTTTTTTTATTTTTTTTCTGTTTTTTTTTATAAGAAACTGAAAAATATATTGAAGAAATAAGAGCATACAAAAGAGAGTATCCCCACAGGACAAAAGGTTACATTGGCCAGCATCGTTACTATCCATATTTTTTCATGCTATTAATTTATTGCCCATTCTTCATATTGCTTCATTATTTTTTGTTATTGACACATTATGCTCTGTTAGAATCTATATTCTTTCGTATCTGACCATTGATATTCCTGGACACTAATTTATGAAATTCTACATATGTCTACTTTGATTTCCTGATTATGAAATCATCTTCAAGAGGTGTAGGTATGCTTCCAACTTTTGTTTTTCTGGCAATCATGTGGACAAACAGGAAATGGATTCACTTGGAAGACGTAAGACCTTAATCACTGCTATAGATGCATTGTGCAGTCCAGGGATGAGACAGTACAAATTAGAATTCCTGCTTCGGTAAGCAAGCGTGTCTAGAATGGCATTTCATGCAGTTACTTGAGGAATTCTATTTTTGACTCAGAAACCTTCATTGGCTAGAATACTAATTTACAAAATTACATCTGTTAGTTTGTTAACACTGTTTGAGTTATTAGCTGATACTATACTGTCTTTTTGCGAAGCACTTCCTCCTTATGCATCATGAAGCTTTTTGAGATGTTAGCTGATACTGTACTATACTGTCAATTGCCACGTGTTAAACTTGCTGTTCCCCTCATGTGCCAGCAGGGTGCATGAGCTTTTTTTCCTTTTTTATTACTTGCTCTTAACTCATCTGGTTGTCCTTGTTCCATCTATGTGCTCAGTTTTATTAGAATCAGGGTTGAACCATTCTAAGTGTGAAGCTTGCCATTCCCCCACATGCTGCCGTGTGAGCTATTTTATTTTTGTTACTTGTTACTGACTCATCTGCTTGTCCTTGCTTTGTCTATGCGCCCATTTTGATCAGAATCTGTCCAAGTGTGAACCTTTCTGATTCTGTTTTTTGGTGTTTATGCCTTTATTTTACTCTAATTCCGCACATTCAGGTTGGAGTTCGTGTCACTTGACTATTTGATTGATAGTATGGCTAAGAAAGAAACTTGTAGCTCAAATATACAAGAAAATTTCAGGAGAAACTTATTCACAGGAGATATGGTGATGACTTGTCATTGTTATGGTTATATATATATGTATATTAGTTATTATTATTATTTTTTTATTATTCTTTTGAGAAGGCACAATTTCATTGATATAACGAAATTAAAAGAACAAGATGGGGAAAAGAGCCCATCCAGGTAAGTTACAAAAAACTTCTCCAATTGGATAACATTGTAGAGAAACTATATTGGTGAAAGAGGGGAAAGTTTACACCATGCAACGACCAAGAAAACTAAAGACTAAAAAAAGTGGTCAATTGATGGTGCCTTGTCTTGGAAAATCCTATGATTCCTTTCCTTCCAGACCAAAAAAGTTCATGCACAAAATGTATCGAGAAGAATTTTTTCTCCTTGTCAAAATGGTGGCCTGTGACTGTGTATGCCATGGGGTGGCTTGGATAAGAAGGAAGGGCAGTGGACCATCCAAAAAGTGAAAGAATCATACTCCCCTTGAGGAATAGTTGCAAGAGACAAAGATGCGGCCTTAGGATTCATTGCCATGCTTGCAAAGGATGCACCAATGAGGGGAAATGCTCATGGACGGCATCCTCCTTTGGATCTTCTCGTGTGTGTTAGCTTTGAGACTGGCCTCCCATAGAAAAAAATTTAACCTTCTTTGGATAAAGATCTTTCCATATTGATTTATAAAGCAATGGGGCCACTGATCCTTGGGGCCTTCATCATCTCACATAAAAGGGAGCTGGTTCCATTCTCTAAATGAATCTGTCTAGATCCATAGAGAGTTGCTTTGGTGTCAGTATGTGTAGGAGAGATGCCAATTCCACAATTTCTGCGTCCTTCAGATTGCTTCTGAACCTTATGTCCCATTAAGCTGATTTCCCATGAAGCTGATTTTTATTGACCATATGTCCTTCACAGCAGCAAGTTTGTTATAACGTAATGCAAAAAGGAGAGGATATGTACCGCTAAGGGGCTCGTTGGTCAGCCACACATCATTCCAGAAAAATGTATGAATGCCATTGCTCACTTTGACTGTTATTCTGCCATAAATCAGAGTTTGTTGCTTTAAAATGTCAAACTGCTCACGGGCAGTTGCTATGGAAGGGAGATTTTGTGATTGTGGCTATCAATAGGCTCATATTTTGCATCTATCATCTTTCTCCACATAGCAGAATCTTCAACTTGATGTCTCCAAATCCATTTCTCCACAGCAGAATCTTTATGACTTTTTTGTCTCTTAGACAGACGAGGTTTTTGTTTCTGAATATATTAGATGGTCTGCAGGATTTGGGGATTGAGTTCTGTTAATTGATAAGTTAAGAAAATAATTCTTCCTTGATTACTACGAATGATTGATACAAGGCTATATAAATAGTAGTCACAAAGAAGAAACTAAAAAGAAATTCTTGCCTATTAGGATAAGGAAATACTTACCTATTAGAACAATAAAACCCTAACCTAAATAAAATAGGAAACCTTTAAAATAAAATAAACTATAATTTAACACTCCCCCTCAAGTTGGTGAATGAATATTTTCCATTCCTAGCTTGTTAACCAAATGCTCAAAGTTGTTGTTGTTCAATCATTTTGTAAGAATATCTGCTATTTGATTGTTTGTTGGTACAAATGGAGTACATATCGACCTAACTTCTCCTTTATGAAGTGTCTATCAACTTCAACATGCTTGGTTCTATCGTGTTGAACTGGATTATGTACAATACTGATGGTAGACTTGTTATCACAATAAAGTTTCATAGGCCCTTCCCATAGAATCATCAAATCTTCTAAAATAATTTTTATCCCCAGTAATCTGATGCCCAATGTCATTGCTCTAAATTCTGCTTCTGAACTTGATCTTGCAACTACATTTTGTTTTTTTACTTCTCCATGTCACTAAGTTCCCACCTAAGAAAGTACAATAGCCAGAAGTGAATTTTCTATCGTCTATCGATCCTGCATAATCTGCATCTGTATAAACTTCTAGATTGAGTTTCTTGCCTTTCTTAAACAACAATCCTCTCTCAAGGGAGGTCTTTAAATAGTGGAGTATTTGATACACAAGTGGATTTTCTATCGTCTATCGATCCTGCATAATCTGTATCTGTATAAACTTCTAGATTGAGTTTCTCGCCTTTCTTAAACAACAATCCTCTCCCAGTGGAGTTTTTTAAATAGTGGAGTATTTGATACACAGCTTGAAGATGAATTTCTTTTGGACTATGCATAAATTGGCTTACCACTCTGTTGGTTTATTATTTGTAAATATTAGCTGTAAATTAGTTGTCAATATTAATTATTATTTTATCTTTATTTCCATTTATGTTTGAGCCTATCTTCTATATAAGAAGGCCATGTATCTCTTATGATTAATATATTGGAATACAAATAATTTGATTCCATCAAAACTAAGTTGGTATCAGAGCTTAGGAAGTAAACCCTAACTCTCAAAACCCTAGCCATCATCAAAAATACCAAACCCTAATTTTAAAACCCTAGCCGTCATCTACCTCCGGCGAACTCCCCACGGCAACGCAACTGTTTCCGTCGATCCGTCGTCCTCACCGTCAATCTGCACCGGTGTCATCCGCACAGATCAAATAAATTCAAATATCCTAAAGACATTTAGAAATCCTAGCCTTTGAGCAGCTGCCGCCGCCCCCTTTTCATTGCCGGAACCCTAGCCACCGTCGTCAAAAGGCGCACCTTACTTCTGGACGACTCCTTCGGGCTCGGGTTGTTCGCTTGC